ATATGTTATTCCTATTATTTTTATGTATTTACATTATATATCTATTATGTTATTGTTGTGTGCTGCAGAGTCAAAATTGACCCATAGTTGACCCTCTGGTGGGTTTTCAGAGGCATCTATTATAGCAACATTAAATGGCATATCATTCATATTTTATATTATATTGTTGTTGTTATGTGCTGTCGAGTCGCTTGTGACTCATAGCGACCTTATGTACAACAGCCCTAAATTCTGCTCTGTCCTGTGCCAATCACACTGTCTCTGACATACCCATCCCGATTACCCCAGTCACTGAGACATACCCATCCCAATTACCCCAGTCACTGAATCAATCCACCTCATAGAGGACCTTCCCCTCTTGTGCTGTCCCTCCACCCTCCCAAGCATGATGTTCCTCTCCAATGACCAGTCCCTCCTCACAACATGTCCAAAGTATGTTAGACGAAGCCTCAGAATCCTTGCCTCCAAGGAGCTGCCTGGTTTAACCCTCTCCAGGGTGAACCTGTTTGTTTTCCTAGCAGTCCATGATACCCTCAATACTCTTCTCCAGCACCACAGCTCAAAGGCATCAGTTCTCCTTCTATCCTCGTCATTGTCCAACTCTCTGATGCATAACAAGTGATTGCAAAGACCATGGCCTATATCAGGCACACCTTAGTCTCCAGAGAGACACTATTGCTCTTCAGAACTTTGGAAAGGTCCCTAACAGCAGACTTTCTCATCACAATACATCTTTTAATTTCCTGGCTACTGGTGCCAAGAGTGTTGACCATGGAGCCAAGCAAACTAAAGCGGTAAACAATCTCAATCTCTTCACCATCCATCCTGATGCTACCAGTTGGTCCAGTGGTGTCAATCTTTGTCTTCTTGATTTTGAGCCTCAGTCTATATTGAAGGCTGCAGTCCTTGACCCTCTGCAGCAGGCGCTTCAGGTCCTTCTCAGTTTCAGCAAGCAGGGTTGTGTCATCTGCATAATGCAGATTGTTGATGGATCTTCCACCAATCCTGACACCACATTTCTCATTAGAGCCCAGCCTCCCGGATAATCTGTTCTGCATACAGGTTGAAAAGGTATGGAGACAGGACATATTAATTCTATTATATTAATTCTATTCTATTCTATTACATTATACTATATCATATCATATCATATCATATCATATCATATCATATCATATCAAGTCAACCTTGTGTTCCTATAATAGAGAGAGGGAGCTCTGGTGGCCTAGTGGTAAGAAGCTGTGCTTCAGTCCCGAAGGTACAAAGTTTGAGGCCACCAGCTTCTGAGTGGGAGGATGGGCAAACTCCTCCTTTGCGATTAACTGACTCTGAAAACCCACTAGAGGGTCAACTATGGGTCGGTTCCAACTCCGTGGTACACCACAACAACATAATAGAGAAACCACAAGAGACTTGCTTTCACAAATAGGAATTTATTCTCTTACAGTTTAGAAGCTCGAAGTCCAAGTTCATGTTGCCAGCTCTAGGAAAGGCTGACTCTCTCTGTTAGTTGCAGAGGAAAATCCTTGTTTACTTTAGTATGTGCAGGCCCAGGGCTCCCTGAAAACTGCCACATGTTCTGATCTTCCCCTCTAAGAGAAAAGATTCCAAACTCATGCACTCTATCCCTGGTGATTCTTCTTTGGTGGTATTTAGGGTCCCCTGGCTCTTCCTTCGGCTTGCTTCCCTCCTCCCTTTACCTCTAGTGAAACTGACTCAAAAATGCAAACTCATTGTCATCAAATATTTCTTGGGGGGGGGGGCAAACAGAGCCGTTCAAAGATCTGAGAGGGAGGAGGGCAGTCACTAGATTTCAGCAGCAGCCTTCCAGCCAAAAGACAATGAAGAGTCACAATTCTGAGGAAGGACAGAATGTCAACTGCTTCAGACTTGCAAAATTACAAACACCCAAAAAGTGCAACCCTTTGCTGTTGAGTCAATTCCAACTCACAGGACCCTATAGTACAGAGTAGGGGTCTCCTTATAGGTTCCCCAAGGCTGTGCTCTTTATGGAAGCAGAATGCCACGTCTTTTCCCACAGGGTGGCTGCTGGGTTCAGATTGCTGACCTGTTGGTTAGCAACCAAGTATTAAACTCTACACCGTCAGGGCTGCTATGAGATCTGCAAGACTCAGGCATCCTTGTTGGAGCATGTACTTCAGCAACATGGGGGAATAAGCCAAGAGAAATCAGGTTTAGAATCTCGACGGGAGCAGAGTAGGAGAGACAGGGTAGCAATCAGACCATCTTGGAACAGGGAGGATGTCATGGCCCAAGGGCTCCACATGGTTCAACACAGCTAAACTGCCTTGTGTCATCTGGCTGCCAGAAGCTTTTGTGAAAACATCTTAGAGAACAGGACCCTCACCAGGGGGGGCTTGGCAAATAGATTGTATTACTGCTTCTAAATGAATATTTTAAAAGCCTCTGAAGAATTAGCTAATAGGGGTGAGAGAGTAAAAATTTCACAGATGGACCTGGGCTGCCCGGTGCTGGGTTGTTGTTGTTGTTATGTGTCGTCGAGTCGTTTGCGACTCATAGCGACCCTCTGCACAACAGCCCTAAACCCTGCTCTATCCTTTGCCAACCGCACTTACCTCTGACACACCCATCCCGATTACCCCAGTCACCGAATCAATCCATCTCATAGAGGGTCTTCCCCTCCTGCGCTGTCCCTCCACCCTCCCAAGCATGATGTCCCTCTCCAAGGACCCGTCCCTCCTGGCAACATGTCCAATGTCAGACGAAGCCCCAGAATCCTTGCCTCCAAGCAGTAGCTTGGTTTAATCCTCTCCAAGATGAATCTGTTTGTTTTCCTGGCAGTCCATGGTACATTCAGTACTCTTCTCCAGTACCACAGCTCAAAAGCATCCACTCTCCTTCTGTCCTCCCTAGTCATTGTCCAACTCTCTGATGCATAACAAGCGATTGCAAATACCATGGCCTGTATTAGGTGCACCTTAGTCTCCAGAGAGACACCGTTGCTCCTGAGTACTAACCGGTGCTGGGTACCCACTCCATTTCTGTACCAATGACAGATCTCAATACAAATGCCCTTGAAAAAGTTCCCTGACTTTACTCACATCCCCAACCAGGTGAAGCAAGCATCATTCCTAGTGCCAGGACCTCTGCCATTACTGGGCAGGCATCCCGCTGAATCCCACTACTGCTGTGCTCCTGTGTGGGGCCTCAGTGGGTCCAGGAAAGGAACCTCAAGCTGCTTTGGAAATGAGCTACATGAGGTCGGGCTCAGCTACCTGTCCATCGAACCCTCCTGCCTGTACCAGGGAACCAGAGAGAGGTAGGCCTACTCACTAAGCACCTGGGTTTAGGAGTCAGGGTGAGAATAAGGCTTCCTCCTGTGATTCTCCCTGGGGACACAGAGTTATGGGGCCTCAAGACATTTGAGTCAGAAAACTCTGTCCTCCTGGAAGAGGAAAGGGGAAGAGAAATCCCCCCAGGGCAGTTTTGAGTCAGAGGCCCTGTCATAATGGAAACATCACAGGCCTGTTTGTGTGGAAAGACTTCCCCTCCCTGGGCCTCAGACTCCACTGCTGTGAAAATCATCATCCTGCACAAGGAGTAGGGTGTCAGTGGTGATTAAGTTCTTTGGTCAGATGTAGGATGTAAAAAGAACACTGTCGTGGTCTCTACATTGTCAGCTTGCCAGACTACACATCTTGGCCCTAACCCTTTTGAAGGTTTTTCACTTCACCAGCCACAGAAGATCGAAAGGAGGCGAGCTCTGGTGGCCTAGTGGCAAGAAGGTGTACTGCAATCCCAGAGGTGCACAGTTCAAATTCACCAGATGCTCTGCTGGAGAAGGAGGAACAATCTCCTCCTGTACCAGTCAGATCTGATTTGACGGTATACACACACAAAATAATAAAACTAAAAAAAAAAAAAAGAAGATCGAAAGGGCAGCATCTGAGCAGGGATAAAATTCAGAAAGCCGGAAGGGAGAGGAAAGGACAACAGGAAACGGGGCACACACTGAAGAAGCGGGAGGAGTGCTGTTATTATATGGTGGGGATTGCAATCAACACCATGCACTGAAATGTGTTCAGTGTTCACTGGATAACTGTACACTTTCACTCAAACCACAACAAAACGATGAAAGGAGAGAACGAAAAACTCATTGAGTCAGAGTCGCTGTAATTGCACGAAATTGCCCACCTTTCTCATGCCATTCAGCTGGTAGATTTGAACCAGTGGAGAAGATTGGCCTTTGGCTTAGCATTACAAACTCCCTATGGACTACATCACTAGAGCCCTAATAGGAGGGGGGAACCCCCAAAACAAACCCCACCTTGGACTTCTCATTGTTTTAGGTATGAATAATGGAATATTTTGGGGGGACCTAGATTCCCTTTTGAAAATGGGTCCCTTTCTTGAATGATGCATTTCATCAGTCTGCCTTCCAGGGAGGACATCTTGGTTAGAGGGGTAGCAGTTTGGTTGACTGGCCCCAAGTGGGAGCAGAGCCTGGGTGCAGGGCACCCCCCCCCCCAATCTGCAGATGGTGGAAGGGTGCTAGGCTGGATGTGTGAGGAATGGAGGCCGCCTGAGGGAACACAGAGCTCTGAGGCATCTTGCTCAATGTATCCTCTGAAACCTTCGAGGACATCCTGTCCCCTTCGTCCCCTCTTGCGTAACATCTGAGCTCAGTAGGAGGAAGCTTCAGGCCCTGCAGTGGACACCACTCAGCCTGGAGGCCCCGCGTGGCTCTGAACGACGCCCCTCACCCCAGCCTAGAGGAGTGACAAATGTCTTGTCCGTCTCTAGAGCTAGTGCCCCTCTCGTGGGGTGGACATTCAGTCCTCGGTGTGACTGTGACACGGGGAGGAGACTCCAAACCTCGGTTTTCTTGCCTGTAAAGTGGGCCTGTTGTCGGCCCCTGCTCCTAAGGGGTGTGGGGACTGACCCGCGACATCACCCGGGTGCAGTGGGCGGGGTTCGGGGTTTGGGGGAGTCCCCGCTAGGCCCGGTCCCGCCCCCAGGCCCGCTTCCTCCTCTGGGGGCGGGCGGCTTGGTGTCCGGCACTCGGGCCCCGGCTCTGCGGCCAGCGCGCGGCCTCCACGCCATGTCCGCCGGCTGGTTCCGGCGCCGCCTCCTGCCTG